ATAGTTTAAGAATATCCACTCTCATTCCGTATTATGAATAGCGACCCTCATTCCATATTATGAATAGCGACCCTCTTCTCGTATTCTTGAAATAGCGACCCTCATTAATTCCGCATTATAAATAGTGACACTCTCCTCGTAATATGAATAGCGACCCTCTTCCCGTCTTATGAATAGCAGTCCTTCAGGTATGGAAAGTTCCACTTTATGAGGTTACCCATGTAAACTCTCTCTCTCCCCCCCCCCCCCTTTTTTTCCTCTCGACAACCCTTTTTTCTGTGTTTTTTTCTCGACATTTTTTTTTTTTAATTCTCGAAGCCTTTTTTTTTTTTTATTCTCGGCCGCTTTTTGTTTGTTTTTCTCGACCTCTTTTTTTTTTTCTCGACCTCTTTTTTGTAAACTCGACTGCTTTTTTGTAAACTCGACGAATTTTGACGGTTGTGGCGTGCCATTGGAATCAGCCAGACTTTGAGTACGTAGCTCCTGTACGGTGAACCTCCCTTAGGTAATACGTATCAGATCGCCCACGCAGAAATGGTTTGCGAAATATTTCTGGTGGGGCAGTCGACTAAACATTTTTTCGCTAGTATATACCAAACGTTCTGGACATCGTGGAATCCTACATCGCGAACGTGTTAGTAACAGGTAAGAGGGGTATCTCGGGTAACTTCTCTCTCCGTGGTGATCCTAATCACAGCCACCGAGAAGAACGTGCAATGTGTTCCAAGAAGGGACTCCAATTACCCGTTGTCCCTATTCGTACTGGACTACTCCGCTGGAGCCACAACAAAAACATGCCCTTCAACAAGCGCCACGATAATCTGTCGCTTACTCCATCGGTGAGAAACAGTTCAGCAGCAGTAACTCAAAAAAATGCCTGTGTTCCGAGCAAATAATATCGAGTTCGAGTGGTGGGTCGGCACGACGAACTAGCGGTGATCGCTAGGAAGCCAAAGTTAAAATTCGCCGTTAACGAAAGAAAGTTGACCCCATCAGTACTACCAAATGTAATGGACCCGTTAATGGGTCGGTGACGACAAGTTCAGAAACAAAATGAAAACGAAAGAAGCTCGGATATACAGTTGAAGTCCACTTTATTAATCATAAAAGTCAGCCGAAGCTCCAGTAGTTATAAACGAAGATTATTTATTTAAGGACATTTTAAACTAGCTAATTCTCTCAGAGGCTGTGCGGCCGGCCTATAGACGAGTAAAACTAGCAGCACATCCTAAACATGGTTACGGAATGAAATAAAAACTCAAATAAACTCAACTACAAAATCCCGCACATGGCATTTAAATACTCCGGCACCCGACGAGGCTTAAATATCACATGATATCACCAGCATGGGTGTCGATCCCGGGGGATGGGGGGGGGGGATATATCCCCCCAATATTTCAGGTGGGGGGATGGCCTGTACAATCATCCCCCCCCCCCCCAATAATTCACACCAAAAAAAATTAAAAAGAAATGATGAGAGCCCGATGAGAGTAGTTAATGGTTATTACTCGCAAGATGACCATCAATATACACATTTTGCTATCTCATTTTCATAATACATACATATATAAATAGGATACGTAGTAAATGAAACGACCGTATATGAGACAAGAATAAATTGAATTCTCGCTCATACGGCTTCATCAGGAATTAATGAATTTATTCAATTTATTCAATCAACAGCGTCATATAAATGCAATGCGCCAAATGCAAAGCCGCAGCGTTAAAAAGCAACGAGCTTAGTAAATGTTAAGCGCGAAGCGCAAAAGTGCAAAAAAGAAGAAGAGAGTGGGAAAGAGAGATAATGAGAGACAGCGAGGATACAGGCGCCTATCCAGGGGGTGGTGGGGGTGGTGGGGTGGTGGGGATGGTGGGGGTGGTCCCCCCCCCCCAAAAAAAAAAAGGAGAGAGAAAAAAGAAAGGAAGAGGACGTAGGAAGAAAAAGGATTGAGAGTCGAGAACGGTACAACGAATCGTCTTCCTTTCTCTAATAATTTAATGAAACGTCAAAGCTTCCACGCTTCGCGCGGGAAGAGGGGAACTCAGTGAATTCAGCAAGGTATAAGAGTCGTGAATGGTACAACGAATCGTCTTCTTTCTCTCATAATCTAATGATACGTCAAAGCTTCAGCGCTTCGCGTGGAAAGAGGGGAACTCAGTGAATTCAGCAAGGTATAAGAGTCGTGAATGGTACAACGAATCGTCTTCTTTCTCTCATAATTTAATGATACGTCAAAGCTTCGGCGCTTCGCGCGGGAAGAGGGGATCTGAATTTTGACAAGGATTAAGAGTCGAGAATGGTACAACGAATCGTCTTCTTTCTTTAATAATTTAATGAAACGTCAAAGCTTCCGCGCCTCGCGCGGGAGGGGGAACTGAATTCAGACAAGGATTAAGAGTCGAGAATGGTACAACGAATCGTCTTCTTTTTTTAATAATTTCATGAAACGTCAGAAACTCCCCTCCCTGCACCCACCCCCTAGGAGGTGCTCACTACCGCCCCCTAAAATAAAATCCTGCCTATATGCTTGAGAGGATCAAACCCAGGTAGCAAGCATGTGGGACACACATGGGTCCTATATTCTCTAAAATGTTATCTTTATTGAGGGTGACTTGAAAAAGTTAAAAACTTGGAAGGGAGGGGGTGCAACCTGCCACACGCCTCTACCTCTTGGTTGCTTTGATCCATTGCCGAAAATATTTTGGCCTATCATCCCCCCCCCCCCCCCCCCCCCCCCCCCCCCAACCGAGGATACAAATCGACACCCTTGATCACAAGCCAACCAGGAGGACTTTTACGAAGCCATCCAATTACAAGATGGGATATATAAACTTACCCTTAGGTCATCCGACCAATTAAGAGAGGAGTTATGATTAATTTAATTAACTATAACCAATGACAAAGCATAATAAATAAGAGTGACTTGAACTAGTCACCGACATAAATGGGAGGATATCTCTTCGCGAGAATGTCAGATCCCTGGAAAAAGTCTATTGTCTAACGTATTTATCGGAAATGAAGCCCTGTACATCTTAATGCATGAATTCATTTCCAACGTGCTTATCGAAATGAACACTGTAATCTTATGCAGGAATTCAAGACCAGGTGTTGTTTACCCGTTCCCGGCACACTATTGGAAACATAATTAATGCTATTCAAATTTTAGATGTATACCAAGTCAAACTAATAACCGTACAATTAATCAACCCTACCCGAATCCTCTATTGCTCTAGCGCCCCCTTTAGGTCAATGTGTTGCCCAAATCAGCGTACCCCTACAGTTACAAGGACACATCTGTATAATTTCTGAATTTATTTTGAACCGTATCAAAGATTGCAGTAACTTACTCCTTTTCGATATATACTGCTCTAAGGATGGGCCATGTTGGGAGGGTCTGAAGTCTTAATAAATGCATATTCCACATTCTTACTCTTTCTCGACACCTTCTTTCCTTGCCCTCTTCTTCCTTTTATTGATCCCTTCATGTTCATTTCTTCTTTTCCTCCTTCCTCCTTTTCTTCCCCTTCTTTTTATTCTCTCTCTCTCTCTCTCTCTCTCTCTTTTTTCTTCTCCGTCTGCTTCCTATCATTCATCTCGTTCAGGACTGTTTCTTTTATGCTCAATTCATCATTCATACCTGTTCAACAGCTTTTTTATGAATGTAGAGTTCAGATAAAATTAGCTTGTTTTCTCTATGTTACCTACACATCAGTCTCATATATATATAGTTTCTACATTCTATTTATTAATTTCGAATTGATGTAACATCGTCTGTTTGGAGCCACAATGGCATTGATCTATATTACTTTGACATGGACTGAGTGCCCTTGTGACCCCAAGCAGACGATATGTTAAACGTGCCTGTTAATATGTGTCTACATTATGTATCAGGTATTCCATTATGAATGATATGAAGTATCAGCCCTGCATTGTTTATAATAGAATATGACCTGGGCTTCTTCTCTTTTCTACTTGTATATATTTTTTTCTTGTTTAGGTATCTAGACAAGTGTATGTCCTATTACTTCCTTGATTAATAATCATGATTGGTAATAAAGTAATATTGGAACAAAAACTGCTGCACAATTATTTAAAAAAACTGAAATTGAGGTTTTCTGCCTACAACAGTTAACTCAAATAGGGCATTCTGTCATCAAAATTCATCTTAAAGCGCATTTATTTTGAAAATCCTTGCGTAAGTGTTATTAAATGACATCCCCTTTCATGTACGTCATTATACGATTTAAATTTAATTTATGCCACAAAATGTGGGGCTGCCAACACTTTAGATTTCTTGAACCCTCTCAAAAGCTTATTACACTTAAACATTGACCAAACATGATTATGGTAAAAAATTGTTGGGTTATTTTAATATAAACTGTATAATTAAGTATGAACATAGGAAAATAGATCAGTCTAAATGCACCATTTTCATGATAATACAACTGAATAGTTGGTACACGCAGCTAGGACAACTACCTCCTAGGACAACTACCCCCGGACAACAACCCCATGTTTTTTCAACTTATGTATTTTAGTGTTTTTGTTGTTTTATTTAATTCATAACTACAATTCAACTATTTTGACCCCCAAAGCAAACACTTAAAGGTAATACAAAGTTTTGGTATGGAGTCGTGAATTTGGTTCAAATGAACATATTGGAAGCATATGCGACCCTACAATATTCACTGTTCGTTGTCACGGTCGAAATTGACTCTAAAGTTATGAAATTGTAAATAATAAACACTTCATGTTGTATTGCTCCCTCTCAAAGTCAAGATATTAACTAAGCTATAAAGCAATGTTTATTGACTAAAATAGACCGATTAGCTATTCCCGTTCGGAAATCATATACCAAAACTACATATTCTGAGATTTTCATGGTGGCAGCTACCATTGTACGGCCGTAGGAGCGTTTTAAAATTTACCAAAATTTACCGGGTGCACCGGTAAATCTTTATTATTCAATTTTTCTCGAAAGCAGAAGTGTTTTAGGGGCTAAATATTCTTATGTTTTTAATACATCCACAGGGGCATCCAAATATATCAAAATTGTAAAGAATCACTATCCACACATTTGTCAAAATACCTTTTAACTTTGAACAAGACTAAATAACCAATGTTTTATCTCTTTTTATGAAAAATAATATTATATATATATATATAGAAATGGGTATATGGTGCAAATGTGCAATACACATCAGGCATCACAGTTTGGTCATAATTTTGAGCTATTTCTCATCATATTTTGAATGAGAAGTAATTGGACACCAATCTTTTTAGGGAATATTTCTAATACTATATACACCCAAACTGATGATAAAAAGACAGCTCACAAAATAATGTTGATGTCTTAACCTTCTCCTCAATTCAAGAGTTTATTTTTTTTCTTTTGTGGGATTCCCGATTATCATATGTCGGTATGCCATGTTGCAACATACGTTCCCTGATAAGATTGGTAAAGTCTACATCCCCTCTCGCAACGTGTCGACACCAAGTGGAAGGGTTATTCTTTAGAGAAAAGAGCACCACTCTCCTGTCTTTTGAATTCTGACGAGTATTATTGCAACATGTGTCGTGCGTGTCAGCAAGTCTATCTCTGAACTCTGCAAGATCTTTCTCGAAATCGGATCCGTACTGTCTCACTTTCCGCCAAAACGTGTGATTAAAATGCGCGTAGAGGGAAACGTCTGCTTTGTTCCAAGCTTGAATTTTGTTGCGGAGGTCTGGACCAATTTCGACGTGGTAATCCGGGGTACGCGTGCCTTTGGCTAGATACAAAATATCGTCCATGCTCCAGCAGAGGAGCTTACGAAGGAGAAGTAGAGACTCGTCGAAGTACTCGGTGATCATAACAAGATCGAAATCGGCATCGATCTCGCGGATTTTCCTCTTTACCTTGTCGTCATCGTTCATATCGTCATGTGACATCCCGAAGTCGTACAGGTGTTGATTGTGCATGCTGCTTTTGTAGTACTGCCTTGTTCGCATCACGTTCTTGAAGTGCAACTCGGGATCTTCCATGAAGAGCTTGAGCGGTTCGCGAGACCGTGGGATTGACCGCCAGATCTCGAAATAGTAGAATGCGGATTCGAACTGCGCGGAGGGTTCTCGGAGTATGGTGACGTACCTCACATCATGAAAGACCCTGTCCATGGATGTCCGGTTATACCGAGCGTGGTTGGTTAGAATATCGTAGCCTTTCCGAAATGTCCAGGGACCTTCCCCTGTGTCCTTCACCTCGGTCAAGTTGATCTTGTCCGCGTTGAAGATTTTCTGGTAGTTGAGGAAGTGGTTCCGATGTGGCACCAGAAAGGTCAGGTTGTTTAGGTAGCCATACCGCTGGATGATTGATGCTAAGGTGGTTGACCCAGTCTTGTGGGTCTTCAGGAAGACCAATTTTTTGTGTGGTACGCAGTTAATGTTGCTTGGTTCTGAGCTCTTTCTGAGGATGTGTGTCTGGGTGTACGCTGAGGGTTTGTCTCGAATGGCTTGAAACAGTCTCTGTTGAACAGGACCTTTGCTGGAATAGATAAGGAATGCAACATTAACCCAACAAAAAGAAGAGCAAACTCAACTGTCTTCAAAAACTGATGAGGTAAAGAACGTAAAGGAATGTGGCCTCTTTCTACCGAGAAAAGTAAAAATTCCCCCCTGTTTTATTCCTGTTCATGTGTTCCCGTTTTTGTTTTCCCAATATTAATGACGTACGTATAACTAATTCTACGAGTGCCTACCTTAAAAACATATCAAATGTATGAGGCATTTAAAGGGCGATAGTCGACATAAAGCATAATTACTTAATAAGAACATAAAGCTGACAAAGTAATAGAAAATTAAGCACCATACATTGATATAAACAGAGGCCTCCTTAAGTAGAACAATAATTAGATGGAACTGTTGATAACAGGCTTCAAGAATAAATAGCGTAGCAGGCAATCAACAACATTTTTCCTTCTTATTTATCCGTTCCTCATCATATTTATGACGTTTTTTAGAAGCAAATAAGAACTTTATCCCAAGTAATCTGGTTATATCAAGAATAACAGATGAATTTAATTCAGGTATGGGAGTCAACCCCCATTTTACTACCAGACTCGTGAGCTATAGGATAAGTAATTGAAATGTTCGTTGTATGAACATTGTATAAACAAAGTCGTTTAACGAAATGCACGTTTGAGCAATTATAAGGTGTTTTATTTTCTCAATTCCAGAGGCAGTACATATAATCGAAATCATGCAATTTACATCTGACTGACTCGACATGACATTCAGAATTTTAAAAAAACAATTCAAAAGTATAATTCTTAACTAAGATCAATTACTGAAAAAAACTCTTTCATAAATGTCCTTATCCGTTTAAAACAATAATAGTAATAATAATAATAATAATAAAATACTTATAGTCATTTCTTGTTCTTTTTTTTTGCTTTTTTCAAAAACGCTTTATCTGTTGAATTAAACAACAATGAATAAATGCTTGAACATGAAATATTATAGTCTGTCAAAATATTGTTTTAAAATAAAAATACAAAATACAGTACTACCTCTGAAAAGAGAAGAACTCCCCAAGAGAGAGAGAGATAAAGATGAAAAAGCATTGTTTCCAAAGAAAATTCGATACAGAATCGGTGTCACGCTCGAGTCAATTCTCATTTCGTACGAATATCGTATGACTATAGGCGGAACTCGTAAGCGCGCACTAATGACTGGCCAGCTGTCATTTCAAGACGTGACCTCGTCAAAATTAATTTCTGTAGATTTCTGTTATACGACGTCTCTGTTGCGAGCTCCGTATTGTTATTAAAGTCAGAACAGAAAGTCAATGTGCTATAAATATTGATAAGAGCTTGTTGGAGTTTACCTGACTTTGCGAGTACCGACAGGCGGTATCGAGAGCAGCGCCAAAAGCGAGACAATGACGAAGATGATTGCGATGATGAAGAGGACGAAGGTCGGGCGAGTCCGAGACAAGAGCAGCATCGTAAAGTACATCAGGCCGTGGTCATCGTTGACTTCGTCAAGGGTGGCGTTCAAGTACTGGGATGGAAGCCTCTGACGTCGTGATGGTGGGGGACTACGAAGATGTCAAGTAGATGAACTTATTTGTGTAAATCACCTGAAATGAGAGAATAAAACAACTTGTAGGGATGTTACGGGATGAAGTTTAAATTTTCCCATGTATGCGTATGTACCGGACGAAATTGGGGAGATTCGGCGGAGGGGGGCGGGCGACTGGATTCTCTTGGGTACATTTTGAAAGAGACGGCAAAGAGAGTGAGCAAACATGAAGAGTTTTTCCACGCTTTATTACAGTGACAGCCTAATTCTGTTACCAAAATAATACTATATAACTAATATAAAACTAACAAATAAAACTAACTCGCTCCCTGAATATGAGTCGACGACTGCCCGAATATAGGATAACAAAATTTATTTGGGTACATGCACACTCCTCCCCCCCCCCCATTAAGTTAATATTGTACCCTTATTGTTATTTATTTTACTTAAGAAAAGCCAGATTGAATATCCCATACTGATCATTCAGTGTGCGTTACACTTAATCTGCGGGCTTTTATTTTCCGCCATTGTAGTAACTGACGTTAACCTGTGTTTAAACAAATGTAAGATGCGATAAAGTTAGAGTACACTCTTTCGAAGAAAACGACCGAGAAATGGTCCCAATCTTTCGTCAGCTGTAGTTGCAAATATGTGTGATCCTGTATCAAAAGGGGATCAAAAGCTACCCAGTAGGTTAATTGTAAGATGCGGGATTAATCCGTAGCCCGCCCTCGTTTGACTCGACTTAAACAGGGGTCGGAATCTTGAGGGGATACGGCAGTGGCAATGACAAGCAAATTCTTCCTTTTTACTGTGATCATTTTAATTTGGAAACTTATGATCAGTGGCCTAGCAAGGGTTGAGGGTGCGTCGCAATCTTTGGGTGGGGGCTTGATTTACTGGATGCAAACTAACAAGCTCAATAACTGGAGGCCTGGTATGAGAAGGGGTCACAAAGTCTTCTTCTTTATTCTTATGTTATCTAAATAGTTACCCGTCTCCCCTTTTTTCAAATTCTTTCTTCGATTATTTGGTCGTACTTCACTGCCTTAGGGCATTGATATCATCAAACGAAAGTAAATGCGGATATTTTTAAAGGGATAGTTGAGTTCTGTTTTCAGACCGCAAATGCCTTCAAAGTGCATGGTTATTGCTCTTATTCTATCTATGACATTTATAGTGCCCTTTTAGAACCTAAAATTGCTATGAAGGTAATTTTAGACCCCAAAATGTGTGAAATTTAGCCAATACGATCATACCAATTCAGCTCCACTTTCAAAAAAACATGGTGACCGTTAATTAATTATTTAATTAAAAATAGCAATACATGAGCCGGCTTAATGTGGGTAATATAAGCAACACGAAAATGCCAACAAGAAAACCAACATCGGCATTGGCTGAAATACGACGTAAAAGGCATTATTTCGTTTTTTTCAACGGTTTTTTTCAAATTTTTCAAAATGTCTAATATTTGTGGTGGTACACAAGTATCAGAAATCGTTATATTTCAGCCGTCTCTGAACCGATTTCGATCAAACAAAGATGATTTTGTCATTTAAATATTATGTTCTTTCAAATTTGACACTCAGTTTTTCATTATCTCACAAAAAAAATATTTTGTGTAGCGCCCTCTGCAACAGAACTCAACTATCCCTTTAACATATTCAATCAGTTAACACGATCGCGATCATATTCGAAAAATCAGCCATAGGACAATAAGCCATTCTCGAAGTGTAAACCAAATGTATGCATATGCCTTTGTGAAGCGCCTCGATACTAGTTATTTCATTCACTGATTACAAATAAATGCATCTCAATAGTCAGAATTCAAATCACGTACATTAGGTGTTGCCATCCCTCCAGTTTGGTCCCGACTGTACCGAATCGTGGAAAAAAAACTTTGGCCAATGTGCATCACCAGCGAATTTTATTAACGTTTCATGCCTGCGACAGTTTTTGTTATACATATATACATTTTGTTTGCGTTCGATTTATGAATAATGAATCAATATCGTCTTCAAATTCACTTTCAATCAACTAATAATAGAAGATTCTGAGGCAATCACACTCATCCTTACACTTACAGAAGTTCACGAAAGAATTAGAGGACGAAAGAAAGAAAGAAAAAAAGGAAAGACAAAAAGAAAAGAAGAAGAAAAAAGAAATACTAAAAGAAAAGAAGAAGAAAAAAAAAGAAAGAGATAATGATGACCACGACGATTGACGATAATGATGATTTTGATGATGATGATGATTATTATTTTTATGATGAAGAAGAAAAAGATGAAAAAGAGGAAGAAGGAGAAGAAAAAGAAGAGGAGCAGGAGGAGGAGAGGGATACGAAGACGAGGGATCACCTAGGGATAGACCCAACCCAGGGCGTCGCTAGACCTTTTACAGTAGGAGGGGGAGGTGTAGAGTTTACTGATTACCGACAAAACTAGCCACCAATTACCGACAAACATATTAATGCAAATATCGCAATGACTACAAATTTAACCCTATAAACCCGGGGCCAGGAACTAAGTAATTTTTAAGTTCCCCCCTTCCGCGCAAAGCGCGGAAGCTTTGACACTTCATTAAATTATTAAGTAAAGAAAAAGATTCGTTGTACCGTTCCAGACTTTTTTCTTGTTTCGCCCCTCCCGCGCAAAGCGCAGAAGCTATGACGTTTCATTAAATCATTAGAGAAAGAAGACGATTAATCCTTGTCTGAATTCAGTCCCCCCCCTTCCGGAAGCTTTGACGTTTCATTAAATTATTAGAGAAAGAATACGATTCGTTGTAGTGTTTTCGAATCTTAATCCTTGTCTGAATTCAGTTTCCCCCTCCCGCGCGAAGCGCAGTAGCTCTGTTTCATTAAATTATTAGAAAATAAAGACGATTCGTTGTACCGTTCTCTACTCCTAATCCTTTTCTGAATTCCGTCCCCCCCCCCCCCCCCTCCCGGAAGCTTTCACGTTTCATTAAATTGTTAGAGAAAAAGAAGAAAATTCGTTGTACCGTGATCTACTATTAATCCTTGTTTGAATTTACTTTTTCCCCACCCCCCGCGCGAAACGGAAGCTTTGACGTTTCATTAAATTATTAGAGAAAGAATACGATTCGTTGTAGTGTTTTCGAATCTTAATCCTTGTCTGAATTCAGTTTCCCCCTCCCGCGCGAAGCGCAGTAGCTCTGTTTCATTAAATTATTAGAAAATAAAGACGATTCGTTGTACCGTTCTCTACTCCTAATCCTTTTCTGAATTCAGTCCCCCCCCCCCTAACCCGCGCAAAGCGCGGAGGCTTTGACGTTTCATCAAATCATTAGAGAAAGAAGACGATTCGATGTACTGTTTTCGACTGTTAATCCTTGTCTCAATACAGTTTCCCCCCTCCCGTCGGCCAACCGACAATTACATCTCACCGACTTCAAACTTCTGCATTGATATAGTAAACGAGGATCGAGCAAGAATGACGATACAGCTGACCCGACACAGCAACATATCTATGCGTATCTTTCTTGCTCCCTCGACGAGACGACTCCACCCACCGGGGCCAACCCCCCCCCCCCCCTCTCTCTCTCTTTCCCCATCCTCCTCTTTCATGCTCTTACCTCCCCCTCTCTCTCTCTCTCTTTCTCCTCTCTTTCACCCCCCCCCCTTTTTTTTTCTCTCTCTTTCTTCTCTTCTCTTTCCTTTCCTTTTCTTTCTTTCCTTTCTTTTTTTCTTTCCTTTCCCGTTCCCTCTCATTTTCCCTCCCGTTTTCTCTTTACAGGATATCCTGACAGGTGGAGGGATGTCGCACCCCACCCCCTCCCTTTAGCGACGACCCTGTCCCAACCTTGCACAGACATCAGAAGTGTCATATTTCGTATAATATTAATGATATCAGAGAAGTCAAAAAACCTAAAACTTCGTTCGATGTAGAGATCCTAGGTCACGGAGAGATGAAAAAGAGAGATGGACACAAATGTCCATGATCAAAAGATTACTTACCAAAGACCCAAGCTAGTTCTTGTTGTTGATCGAAGTTCGGCTTCTCAATACCACATACATACAAATGTGAACATTCACTTGAAAATACCTAATAGTTGTAGGGCAGATGAATGTCCTCACAAGTAACCGACGACATGATACAACAGTCCGTATCGTGTAGAACATATATTTCCTGTGAGACGTCGTAATATATCACCCCAAAATTTGACCCTACGCGGAAATAGATGGCTGGGACTGCAGTAGATACTATTATTATAACCAGTCGTATTACATGGACAGTTAATGGATTGTGGGTTTGTTAAATCTGCCAGCTTGACATTCACCGAGAGAGAGGCGGAATGAGGTCTGTGGGGCGAAGTAAGGAAGGTTGAACAGTGGCGTAAGGATAGAGGTGATGCCATTGCGGAAATTGGGATGAGATGTAGGTTTATTACAGTGGCCTGGTTGAGTGGGGGATAGGGGTAAACAGTGAATGTGTGTGCGTGGGTATGTGCGTGCACTGCGTGGGTGTGTTTGTATGTTTGTGTGTGTTTACTGGATGGGTGTGTGTGCGTGTGTTCGTGTGTGTGTGTGTGTGTGTGTGTGTTCGTGTATGTGGATGTGTGCGCAGAGGGAGGGGAATGGGCACGTTCTTTCTCGTCATGTCAAATGGTAACAAGGGACAAAAGATATTGACGGCGAATCGGGGGCTGGGGTGTGCCCTCTACCCCTTAATTGATGACACATTCCAAAATTACAAAATAAGGACACATTGAACCATATTAACACCTTGTATCCTACGGAAGCATGGAGGCAGCTATATTTGGCATATCGGCCAACATTCAATCAAACCTAGGAGAATGGATATCCACCTTTCATTTCATGTTTATTTTATGGGAGTCATAATGTGCATGGGCTCACTTCCTTCCTTCTTCCAAATCACAGGGTAGTCTATAGTCCACATAGTACAATGACTCAATTTCATTTCGGTGCGAGTTTTTAGTTTCCAACTCCACACGAAGTGATCCCCGATTCTATCGATTTACAGAGCCAAAAAATAGTGCTCACGACACTTACACCACCACCACCACCACCCCCCCCCCCCGCCCGCCCACTTATTAGGCCGTTCGGCTGAGTAGCCGCTAAATATTTTCTCACGAACTGGGCTCCCTCCCTCGCCGCCGGCTGGATCCACCCCTACTCTCCATGCTCCTGGCCTCCTCTTCCTCTCTCTCTTCTCAAAAGTGTCCTTTTTCATTTCTCCTTTTCTCTCTTCACTTTATAATTGGAAATTTGCATATGTTTATTTATCAATTTATCAATTTGAAGTGCAATAATAAAGTCGAACTATTTTTCTTCATTTCTATTTTTTTTTTTTTTTTTGTGGTCAATGTTGGTGATTACATTTTGAACAAAGGCAACTATGTAATCTCTGTATGCATCAGCTGGACTGTCTTTATAAGGATTTGTCTTTCACTAAACCGAAATGAATGGATCTGAATGGAATCAGCTTTCCTGCAGCAGGTGGTCACCTTGACAGCTAGTTACCACCCGATCCAGGTGAAAAGCAGCTTGTTATACTTCCCGATCTAATAAAAGAAGTCATAACTATGACAACAGAGATTTCTTTCGATAACAAAGCGCGTAAAAAGAACACAATCTGACTAGACAGTCTGATATTAAAGGGATTGGGTATCTTTGCCTCATTTTCTAAACAAAGTCCTGGATTTAGCTCATGCATGCTGCAATCATAATTATAAACCTTTAGGTCAGTTAGGAATCCCTTTTACAAGCTGATCGCCTGTCTGATGATATTTATGATTGGAATTCGAAATTTCAAAATTTTGAGAAAATTAATGAGCATGGTATTAACCGAATACTCAAAGATTTTTACTTTCTTGAGGCATATCATGATTATTTTGAAGCGCAATTTATTTAGGGCTTCAATTTTACACCATATCACATACACTGGTAGCTTGTAGAGCCTTGCATCTCAGATTTGTAAAACAGGAAACATAGATTAGGCATTAAAGATACTGTGTCCCTTTTGCAGCCAACATCAAATTCTGTAGATCTGTGCAGGAATTATGAATATGTCATGTATGTCCAATCTGTGAAATTTAAACGTTTACAGTGTCCTAGTATTCAAATTATGCAAGGAAACCCGTTTACTTATATATATTTTTGTTCCTACTTATTTTAAACCTCTTTCAATGCAATCACAGTTTATTTTATTTGTTAACACGAAAGGAATCATAATCATACATCATTATGTTCAGCATAGAACAATCACCCCCCCCCCCTCCCAACTAGTCTGCAAGCACAAACCCTGGTCAGTCGTAAAAGTGAGTCTGCACTATAAGACTACCATAGGCCATGTACTGTGGCTGCTCCTTCACATATTGACACAACCAGTAGGTAGCTGGGCTAGACTTCTCTCAAGGCACAATGATTTTTTGATTAAGTGTCAGATTAGGGTCTGTGCCTGCAGACTACCTCCCAACCATCAATCCCCAGACAATACCCCAGGACAATTCAAAGACTGTAGAGGGAAGTTGAGTTTCCCGAGCATTAGTAGAGAGGTAAATTTCCGACATGTCATATACATGTATAATGAGAAAATAAACGTTTTATTTCAGACGTTGTCCGTAATCGTAATACATGTAGCTGATTTTGGGTGTTAAAATTTGTTGTCTGTCGGGAAATATTTGGTAAACACCCCCTCCCCGGGGCCCATTTAAATGGTCTATCGACGCCTCTGAACCCATCTGGGCTATCACTTTGGTGGCTGCCCAAAACAGTGGCGTTTCCTTGGTTCTTGCTTTGAATGACCTGTGAGAATTATACGTAGACACTAACTAGTCAGGTTCACACGACAGTACATAAAACTTAAAGCTTACTCTGGGTCGTAGTTATTAAAACTTCGAGTTTATAGTTACGGACCGTGCGGACGCACTTGTTGTTAGAATACTTTTAATTGCATTAGTTTCATTACTCTAAGTAAAACACCACGTGCCATCTTTATTTTCAGCGGGGGAGGGGGAGAGGGGCTCCTAGTAGTAACTCCGGGTTTACGCGCCGGATTGTTGAACGACTGCTCGCGTTGCCGTGCGTGTAGTTGAATACTCGTAGTTATGATCCGGTGTGAACCCTAGCTCGTCGTTGTTAACATGGTCAGGCAGTGGATCGTTGTCTATGGGTGCGTTCAATCGAATTTTCGAAGCTAGAATCACAAACATGAATCACAAATCAAAACGCCGTTACAAAAAACAAGGTCACTGCGGTTAGCGTTCAAGCGATTTTTCATCAACGCTGATTCTAGCTCATTTCGAGCCCAGCCACTGCGGATCACACTCGCAGTTTGACCCAGGAAGTATAGGTCAACTTCGGCGCGCGCTTTTTGGAATTGTTTACGGCCGACTGTCGACTGCTGTTTTGAGCATAGATCGCAATAATAAAACAAAGAATGAGAAGGTGATGGAAGGAAGAAACAAAAAATAACATAAGGAAAGACAGAAAGAGAAAGTGAAAGAATGATTGAAACAAAGGATAACATAAGAGAAAGTGATAGAATTATAAAAACAAAGAATAACATAAGAGAAGGTGATAGAAGGAAGGAACAATTAAAGAATAACATAAGGAAAGACAGAAAGAGAAAGTGATAGAATGCTTAAAACAAAGAATTACATTAAAAAAAGCTGATAGAAGGAAAAAAACAAAGATTAACATAAGAATAGAAGGAAGAAACAAAGAATAACAAAAGAGAAAGTGATAGAATTATAAAAACAAAGAATAACATAAGAGAAGATGATAGAAGGAAGAAACAAAGAATAACATAAGGAAAGACAGAAAGAGAAAGTGATAGAATGATTGAAACAAAGGATAACATAAGAGAAAGTGATAGAATTATAAAAACAAAGAATAACATAAGAGAAGGTGATAGAAGGAAGGAACAAAGAATAACATAAGGAAAGACAGAAAGAGAAAGTGATAGAATGATTAAAACAAAGAATAACATAAGAAACTGTGATAGAATTATAAAAACAAAGAATAACATAAGAGTAGGTGATAGAAGGAAGGAACAAAGAATAACATAAGGAAAGACAGAAAGAGAAAGTGATAGAATGATTAAAACAAAGAATAACATAAGAGACTGTGAGTGAAGGTAAAAAACAAAGATTAACATAAGAATAGAAGGAAGAAACAAAAAATAACATAAGGAAAGACAGAAAGAGAAAGTGATAGAATGCTTAAAACAAAGAATTACATTAAAAAGCTGATAGAAGGAAAAAAACAAGATTAACATAAGAATAGAAGGAAAAAACAAAGAATAACAAAAGAGAAAGTGATAGAATTATAAAAACAAAGAATAACATAAGAGAAGGTGATAGAAAGAGAAAGTGATAGAATGATTAAAACAAAGAATAACATAAGAGACTGTGAGTGAAGGTAAAAAACAAAGAATAACATAAGAGAAGGTGATAGAAGGAAGAAACAAAGAATAACATAAGGAAAGACAGAAAGAGAAAGTGATAGAATGATTAAAACAAAGAATAACATAAGAAACTGTGAGTGAAGGTAAAAAACAAAGATTAACATAAGAATAGAAGGAAAAAACAAAGAATAACAAAAGAGAAAGTGATAGAATTATAAAAACAAAGAATAACATAAGAGAAGGTGATAGAAGGAAAAGAACAAAGATTAACATAAGAATAGAAGGAAGAAACAAAGAATAACATAAGGAAAGACAGAAAGAGAAAGTGATAGAATTATAAAAATAAAGAATAACATAAGAGAAGGTGATAGAAGGAAAAAAACAAAGAATAACATAAGAATAGAAGGAAGAAACAAAGAATAACATAACGAAAGACAGAAAGAGAAAAAGAGGAAAACAAGGTATAACATAACGGAACAGGCCATGATAAAGAGGATGGTATAGTAAACGCAAATTGCATGAAAAGCAGGCGCGCGGTTTTTGCCCAAACCGGAACAGGCTCCGTCATACAATCATGATTGAGAACTCCGTCCGTTCAATCGAATTTTAGCGACCGTGATCCTGCAGAATCATGATACAAAACGCATCTTTTTCGGCGTTTCATGTTTGTGTTTTCAAACACGTTTATTTTTACGACCGACGAAAAAATCGCTTGAACGCATTGCGTTTTAAACTAAACGTCTTTAGAAACCGTGATTCTAGGGTGAAAAAGTGTCGATTAAACGCACCCTAAACACTTCAAAACTACGGCGATCCCGTGTAAACTTAGCTCTAGGGAAATGACACTTGCGGCATAAATCGGTTCAATAAGTCATTCTGCAATGTAAGCAATGTGTGCTGTGTC